ACTCGCTTGAGCCCAGGAGTTGGAGGTTGCTGTGAACGTGATGCCATGGCACTCTACCCAGGGGGATAGCTTGAGGCTCTGTCTCAAAAAAAAAAGACTCTTCCTCGTTGCCACATTCAGAGTCTTTCCTGCTTCCTCCAGTTACAGGTCCTAGACGTCCTTGCAGGATGAGTTTGATTTTTTCCGACATTGCTTGTGCTTCCCAGCACCTCTTAGGTGGTCTTAGACAGGCCCCCTCACACTGGCACACTGCTCCCATGCTTCCTCTTCTAATTCCCTCTGAATTTACAATTAATATTGCTTAGAACTGAAAACTAGACATTTTTCTAAATAGTTGGTTCTGGCAACCAGAATACAGCTAGTGCTCCAAAGATCCCTTCCTTTGTAGGCTGCTTGGTTGTTTCTGTGGGAAAAGGTCTTCTGAGTTCCAGGGCTGAAAGTTCTAGGTCAAGATAGCAAAGTAGACTTTGCCCTTTCAAATCCGGAATTCTGGGTCCTGTGAACGGGGAGTCAGGTGATGTAGGAAAGACGAAGAGGAAAGAGTCCAGGGAGTCCTCATGACATGGGTATGAGTCTCTTTCTGCCACTTACTAGCTGTGTGATCTTTTATAAAATACTTGCTCTCTCGAGTCCTCGATTTTCTCCACTGTGAAATGGGTATAACTGTGCCTGTGCTGTAGTGATCTTAAGATGTGGAAATAAAATAAGGGTTTAACTGGCTACTGATGGTATGTGAACAGTAACACATTTGTTTCTTTCCTTCATTTCCTTCTCTTTTTCTTTTTTTTCTTTTTGAGACAGAGTCTCAAGCTGTCACCCTGGGCAGAATGCAGTGGCTTCACAGCTCACAGCAACCTCAAACTCCTGGGCTTTAGCAATTCCTCAGCCTCCCAAGTAGCTGGGACTACGGATGCCCACCACAACACCCAGCTATTTTTTTTGTTGCAGTTGTCATTGTTGTTTTAGCTGGCCTGGGCTGGCTTTGAACCCTCCAGCCTCAGTGTATGGTCTGCGCCCTACCCACTGAGCTACAGGCACTGTCCTCCTCTTTTTCATGGGACCTCAGCAGAATTTGGAAAAGGCTCAAGTATCTCTTTTCTCTCCACCATTCTCAGTCCCCAGATCTATTGTTTTCCATCTACCCTCCTCAGTACCAAAGTCCGAGCCCTGATCTCAGCTGGTGTAGGAAGGAGAATGATGTGATTTAGCTGTCATTAGAGAAATAATTCTGAGGTAGTTCTTCCAGATTTATTTGTACTTTCATCCAGAATGTATCTGTTGATGCAAATGATTCTAGAATTGGTAGAATTTCTAGTATTAAAACAAAAAATCCTTTTTTTGTTATTTATTATTAAAACAAAAAATCCTATTAAACCCTTCAGGACAGTGGGTCTCAACCTTCCTAATGCCACGACCCTTTAATACAGTTCTTCATGTTGTGGTGACCCCCCCAACCGTAAAATTATTCTCATTGCTACTTTTAACTGTAATTTTGCTACTGTTATGAATCATAATGTAAATATCTGATATGTAGGATGGTCTTAGGTGACCCCTGTGAAAGGGTCGTTCAACCCCCAAAGGAGTCACAACCCAAAGGTTGAGAACCACTGCTTTAGGAGAAGGTCACCTGGGGCACTGGGCCATGGTGTATAAAAGTAAAGCAGTCGTGCGTAGAAGCCGTCCCTCCCAGCTGCTCTTGCATCCCTCCCTCTCTTCTCACACTCTCAGGTCATGAGCGATGGCCCCTGACAGGTGGACTAATGGGCAGGCTCAAGGCAGTGCTGCCCTGTGGGTGGGGCAGCCTCTAGTGACTGAGTTTTCTTCTTATTGAACCTGTAAAATGATAAGCCTTAAATCAGGCCTCTGTGTGTATAATGTACTTAATTTTTTTAATTTAAACTTGTTATTTTGGAATAATTTGCAAAGGTAATACTGGAGATCCCATATGCCTTTCACCTGGTCTCCTTTGTTGTTAATATTTCACATCACTTTGGTATATTTTTTACAGCTAAGAAACCAACTTCAGTCTATTACTATTGAAAGATCTCCATATTTTGTACAGATTTCCCTAGTTTTTCCACTAATGCCCGTTTTCTGTTCCAGGGTCCTATCCAGGAGACAACATTGCATATCTCCTTAGTCTCCTCTGGTCTGTGATGGTTTCTGTGTCTTGTCTTGTTCTATCATGGCCTTGACAGTTCAGGAGAGTACTGGTCAGGCAGTTTGAAGAAAGTCCCTCAATTTGTGTTTGTCAGATGTTCTTCTGATGATTAGTCTGTGTCTTTTGGGAGTGGAAGACACAGGGTGAGGTGCCCTCCTGACCATGTGCCATCAGAAATATGTGATGTCAGGGTGGCTTATTACTGGTGAGGTTAACCTTGGGCTCCTGGCCAAGGTGACGTTGACACCTTGTTCTTACTGAAAGGAGTTTCTCTGTCTTTGTGCAGCTGTTAAAAAACCTGCTCCAGCACCTCCGAAACCAGGAAACCCACCTCCTGGCCATCCTGGGGGCCAGAGTTCTCCGGGAACATCTCAGCAACCACCCAGTTTGTCACCAAAGCCATCTACCCGAAGCCCCTCTCCTCCCTCCCAGCACCAGGGCCAGACTCCAGGCCAGCCTGCGGCCCCCTCCCAGCTCTCTGCACCCCGGAGGTACTCCAGCAGTTTGTCTCCAATCCAAGCTCCCAGTCACCCACCACCACAGCCCCCAACCCAGGCCATGCCGCTGATGCACACCAAACCCAGTAGCCAAGGCCTTCCCACCCCTATGGCCTTGCCCAGTGAGCACGGACTCGAGCAACCATCTCACACCCCTCCTCAGACTCCAACGCCCCCCAGTACTCCACCTCTAGGAAAACAGAATCCCAGCCTGCCATCCTCTCAGACTCAGGCGGTGAGTAACCCTGAGTCTGCACAGCTACATGCTGGAACCTTACCAAGACCAAGACCAGTACCAAAGCCAAGAAACCGACCCAGTGTGCCCCCACCCCCCCATCCTCCTGGTGCCCACTCAGCTGGGGATGGCAACCTTACCAACACTGCACCAACAGCTTCCAAAATAGTAACGGGTAAGTAGGAAATCAGGCCTGGATTTCCCCATTTGCTCCCTATTCCTTTAGTACTGCTCCCCTTCATTTAGGCTTTGATTTGTAGCAGGGGTCAGCAAACTACACCTGCAGGCCAAACCTTGCTTGCAACCACTTTTTGTAGTTGGAACACAGCCATGCCCACTTGTTTACATACTGTCCATGGCTGTTTTGGTGCTAAAACAGCAGAGTTGAGTAGTTGTGGCAGAGACTGTATGACCTGCAGAGCTGACCAGAGGTACTACTTTGGCCCTTTAAAGTTTGCTGTGCCCTGTTTTATAGTTGCATTGTGTGTTTAAGACCTATCTGCATTTACATTTTTCTACATAAAATGACTTTTTCGCCTTCTTTTTTGAGACAGAGTCTCACTCCATTGCCCTTGGTAAAATACTGTGGCATTATAGCTCATAGCAACCTCAAACTCTTGGGCTCAAATGATCCTCTTGCCTCAGCCTCCCGAATAATGGGAACTACAGGCATCTGCCACAATGCCCAGCTCGTTTTCCTGTTTTTGGTAGAGATGGGGGTCTCACTTTTCCTCAGTCAAATCTCAAGCTCCTGAGCTTAGGAGATCCACCCACCTTGGCCTCCCAGAGCTCTGGGATTATAGGCGTGAGTGTACACCTGTCCTAAGTATAATGACTTTCAGTGCAGAAGGAAGGTGTTACACAGCACAAGCATAAAATTCATTTCTTAGTGAATGCTTCATTAAAATGCTTATTTTCCTAATAGTAAAAATGTTCACAATAAGTGAAGTATTTTCAGGTATAACTTTAAAAACGTGATTTATGCCACATTGGGGTGCTCTGGGCATGGATATGCCCAGGACATGATGGAATCAGAGTGCCTGCCTCACATGGCTTGGGAGGAAAGAGTCAAGATTTTCTTGTACAGATTTCAGAGGGCTACTTAATGGGATATTTTGTAGAGGCAGTCTAGAACATGACCATTTTATTTCTAATGTGTTTTTTTTAAATAGTAATTAGGAGCCTCAAATCTTTTTTTTATGATTTTAATCATAAAAATCAGCCTAATTTTAAATTGTTCTAAATGGAGGCTTTTGGGGGGAAAAAGCTAAAATGTACCTCTCTGCTCTCCAGCTGTGTCAAGTGACTTCTCAGCTGACAGTGATCAGAGAGTATACCCAAAACTACTGGACCCCCAATGATGCGGGTTAACTGTTTTTTTTTGTTTTTTTTGTTTTTTTTTTTTAGCCAGGGCTGGGTTTGAACCCACCACCTCCAGCATATGGGGCTGGTGCCCTACTCCTACTCCTTTGAGCCACAGGCGCCGCCCGGGTTAAGTAACTCTGAAAAGTATCTTTTGATAACTTTTTTCAGGAATATAATACATAACTTGCAAGTGTTGTAAATGGTTAATGGCATTTTTCTGATACTTTCATTTTTAAAACAATGAAGCAACATTGGTTTGTCTATTTGTTTGTTTCCCACTAGATGCCCTTCCTACTGCCCTCACAGGTGGGGAAGGTTTCCGGGACTAAGGTCTGTAAGCTCCCAAGCAGCCTGTGCGTGCTGCAGCTCCAATGTGCCTGCTTAGCCGTGTTCCGCATTTGTGCTTTTTTTGCCTTTGTGCTCGGGAGCGGCCGCCTGACCGCTGGGCCGTGGCAGTCAGTGGGCCAGCCCTTCTATAGCATGTAGACATTCGTTTTGTTTTCATCAGAAGCACTTTGAGCTGCAGTGCTCTGAATTCAAGAAGTAGGTGTCAGTAGACTAAGGACATCATTTCAAGCTGCTCAATAAGATACTAAGAATACCTTCTTTCTTTTTGGTAAGCCTGTCACCCGCACTCTGCTCTTCCTGGTGTGATTGACCTGTCATTGATTGGCTCATCAACCTCCCACAAAGGAGGACTCGATGCAGGCAGCACGGAACATAGTGTCCTCTGTGTCTTGAGCTTTTTTTTTTTTAATCTTAAGTGCAAGTTAACTGCATGGAGCTTAATTTGATGTTTAAAATTCTCAGGATTCTGCCAGCCCCAAACATCTTCCTCCAAGGATCCTACTGAATTCTTTTCAATTATTTTGTATTCTACCATGCTTACATTTGCTTGCTTAAACCATATGAGCTGTTTAAAAGGCACTGTGAGCTCACCTGAATCTGCCTTTGAGTCCACATTTGGACAACAGAAGGCTCTTATTATGTGTACAGTTGCCTTTATTAGCTGATTTGAGCTTTAAGCCTTTTGTGAGCTCCTTAGGCAGAGGGCTCGCAGCTTCGGTATGAGTAAGACTTTCTGTAGAAACCAGAAGAGGAAAACCAGAGTGCAGCCTTTAAAATGAGGAGGGCCCAGTGTGGTTCCACCTTTGTGACTCCTCGATGATGAACTGGGGTGCCGAGTTGGGTGAAAGTCATTTACAGAGTAAACCTTAATCAAGGCTGAGCCTTTTAATAACTTGATACGCAGCAAAATGTTGTTCCCAGATCTTTCCTTTTAGATGAAAAACTACAAACCAGAATTATGCCTATTCTTTAATAACACTGTTACCTGGGGTGCCTTTAGTATGGAAGGGTATTTCTTTGACCTGCTGCAACAGTGCAATGTACTGTACTTTATTATTGTTAGAAGTGAAATTTTACATTTTTCCTTAAGTTGTTAGCTAAATCTTTAGCTAATTCCATACTGTGAATTCTACCTCAAGAAATTCCAGGTTACTATGATTATTTTTATATTACAGAATTAACTTTTAATATTTTAAAATCCCCTGGACTACTATTGGAAGTACACAGCAATCCAGCATTTGGAATTTATGACTCCTCTATTAACCAGTCTTGGCTATAACTACTGGGTTTTTCAAAAAGGAAAAAGTATAATTTCATTGGCCAGAGCAGTCCTTTATTATGACATCATGTCTTCACTTGGAAAACTTGAGGCAGACAAGTTACTCATTTAGAGCACCTGGATGAAGGCTAGTGGCATTAAGATAAACTCTTGGGAGAGATTGTTCCCACCACGCTGGTTTGGCAGCCAACCTCTGGCAGCTCAGCACCAATGCTGGAGAATGAGGAGATTCTGGCATCATTTTGAGTCTCCTCTTCATTGTAACTCTAGAGAGCAGTAGGGTTTTTTAATTCCCAAGTAGCTATTTTTAAAGTAATAGATTTCAGCAAAGAGTATTCTAATTTAAACATTTTATTAAATAATTTAGATGTATGACCCGTCATATTCAGTAAGAACTGAAATTGGAATATTTAATGGTAAGGAAAAGGCATCTGATTGGCCAAAGCACTTTTTGTTACGTTATGATCATGTTTGTGCACTAATGCCTGTTACTAACCAGTCACCCTAACCCTGCTTGCTTGCATCCCCACTTACTAATAGTGCATGCACTAAAGGAGAACTGGCTTGGTCATGCTTGCTGCCAATTGTTCTGAATATGGAGTGTGTACACAGACATGTAACAGGTGGTCACAGGGCTGGCCTTGTCACTTCTTTTTTATCTATATCAGACAGGCTGGAGGTATAATAGAAAGAATGCATGCTGTAGAAAGCATGCACTGGGCATGCCTGAATTAGAATTTCAGCTCTGTGTAGCATAAGCAGGGTACAACCTGGTTGATCTGTAAAGTGGTAACACTTGTCACAGTTGTTGAAGGGGTTAAATGAAATAGGAAAGCCCCAGTTACAGTTCTCAATATAGAGTAGGTCTAAATGAATGGTAATTGTTACCATTTTTATCTAGAAGAAAATATTTTTAAACAACGTTATATATTAAAATCATATATCAACATTTTAAAAACTCACGTGCCCAGGCCCTGCGGTCTAGAACCCAGACACAGTTCAGTGGTGGGGCCCAGACTTCTGTATTTTGATTCTGATGTACCACTTGGTTTTCTTAGCATCAGTTCCCTCGGGGGTTAAAAAGGCAATACTCTGTAGGAGAAGAAAAGAAATATTTTCTCAAGATTTAGTGAGTCTGCGAATACCTATGAGTCATTCATCCGCCATACAACAGGCAGACCAAGTCACTCACTTAATAGCCACAAAAGTGGATACTTTGCTGTCTCTCATAGTGTTTTCTTTTTTAAACCAAGCTCTCTTAATATTATAGTGTGAAAGTAATGCATTTTTTTTTTTAAAGCATGGATTTTTGGGGTTTTTTTAAGGCAGGGTCTTCTTACTCTGTCATTCCCAGGCTGAAGTGGTGGTATAATCATAGCTCACTATAACCTCCAGCTCCCAGGCTCAAGCAGTCCTTCTGGCTCAGCCTCCTGAGTACCCAGGCACACACCACCACATCCAGCTAATTCTTTTTGTTTTTCATAGAGACAGGGTCTCACAATGGGGTCTTGCTATGTTGCCTAGGATGGTCTCAAACTCCTGGCCTCAAGTGATCCTCCCATCTCAATCTCCCAAAGTGCTGGGATTTATAGGTGTGAACCACTGCACCTGTCCAAAGCATGGATATTAAAGAAAATTTGAGAAATAGAAATAGTAAGTTTTACTTCTACAATTGAAGGACTTTATGCTTTGCTATTTTTTCTTCTAGGTATTTTTTTTCTAAAAGATAAGGAGTGCATCATTTGCGTGATCATAGTTATGGGGCAGGTAAAGACTTTGCTCCTGCATTTTTATTTTACTTGACATCGTATACTCTTTCCTAGGTGATAATGTAGTTTCTATAACCATTTTTTCAGTGACTGCATAATATTTCATCAAGGAGATGTATTATCACTTATATAGTTGGCCATTTCAGTAGCTTCTATATCTATTTGCAGTTTATTGATTTACTTATTTGTTTATTGCAGTTTTTGGCCAGGGCTGGGCCTGAACCTGCCACCTCCAGCATATGGGACCAGCACCCTACCCTTTTGAGCCACAGGTGCTGCCCCTATTTTTTTTTTATTTAATTTATTTTTTTGAGACAGAGGCTCACTATGTTGCCCTAGGTAGAGTTCCATGGCATCACAGCTCACTGCAACCTCCAACTCCTGGGCTTAAGCGATTCTCTTACCTCAGCCTCCCAAGTAGCTGGGACTACAGGAACCTGCCACAACGCCCAGCTATTTTCTTTGTTGCAGTTGTCATTGTTGTTTAGCAGGCCCAGGCCGGGTTCGAACCCACCAGCTTTGGTGTATGTGGCCGGCACCCTAACAGCTGAGCTATGAGTACTAAGCCTATTTGCAGTTTATCTTTAATAAGTAGATGGAAGAATTGTGTTAAGATAGACATCCATTAAGACTTAAACAGAATCTCTCCATGCGCTATAATAAAACAAAGCTGCCTCAAAGCCTCTTATATATAGAAAGTCTCTCATAGCCCTAGAAAATCAATGTAGGATAGAAAGAAGCCATTCCCTCAGGTGCCGGGTGTGAGGAGAGGGGTGGATATTGGAAGGGGAAGTTTATTCATCTTGAATAAACTTGAGTTACGTCTGAAGCACTTAATTTCAAGGGTGCATTTAGATTCATTACTTGTCAAAGTGTCTATCAGAATAACCTTGGGGTTTTTTGAAGGGTTGGTTTACAACCTGAAGCAATATTCAAAATTGGTAACATTAACAAATCTTCTAGAACAGTGATTCTCAACCTTCCTCATGCCGCAGCATATTTTCATTGTTACAAAGGGATCGTGACCTACAGGTTGAGAACCGCTGTTCTAGACCCATACCCTAAATTATAAAATTCCTTGGATATCTACTTCTCTTTCCTAGATAGATTTTCAGTTCAGGAATGAACGTATGTTACGTTTGTCAGAGTCCTGAATCCACAGTGGACCATATCACGTTCTGCCCTTGGGCTGAGGCTGGTTACTAGAGGTCTCTCTTGATGGTTTGTTTTGTTTTTAATTTAGTATTAGTCATAAGAATTTAGCACTAAGTAGTACATATATGCTTAAATACCACCCTTTGTTGGAAAGCACATAATATGTAAATTCACAGCCAGAGAGGATTAGAAGTACTAAAAAAAAAACAAAAAACAGGTTTTTACAGGTACCCTTCTAAAATAACTTTTCCCCTTTTTATAACAACAAATCTGTGTTTAAGACTCAAACTCTCAGATAAGGTCTTCTCTGTCAGGACCCTCACCCAAGGAGATATACAAACTCCGTTAGGGAAGAGGGATACTATTCCACTGGTTAAGAGCCAGAGTCCCATCAATCTGGCTTTGATCTCTTCAGTCCACATGGGCTGTGTCCCCTTTGGTGAGGAGTAGAACCTCTGAGTCCCTATCTCTACAGTGGCACTAATGCTGCCTTCGGATTATTTGATGGTTGGCCAAGAGAGATAATGTGTAGTGCAGTTACACAGTTAGCACAGTCTCTGGGATATATTATAGCAGATGCTCAGTAACGTTAGCTAAAGTGAGAAAGATTAGGCTCTGTACACACTGCCGTAATCCTTACTACTTTTTAATGTATAAACAGATTCACTGTTTTCTTTCAGAAAAGGATTCATGGCTCGGCACCTGTGGCTCAAGCGGCTAAGGTGCCAGCCACATACACCTAAGGTGGCGGGTTCGAATCCCCAGCCTGGACCCACCAAACAACAATGATGGCTGCAACCAAAAAATGGCCAGGCATTGTGGTGGGCGCCTGTGGTCCCAGCTACTTGGGAGGCTGAGGCAGGAGACTCACTTGAGCCCAGGAGTTGGAGGTTGCTGTGAGCGTGATGCCACAGCACTCTACCCAGGGGGACAGCTTGAGGCTCTGTCTCAAAAAAAAAAAGAAAGAAAGAAAAGGATTCATGTAGGATGAGAGAGAGGCTGGGGCAACCAGATGGGGAAGGTGGGAAGCAAGTAAAGGAATCTCCCTTAGGCCTCACGAAAAATTTTTTTCCTGAGTGTATAATTAGTGTGTTCACTATAGTTAAAGAAATTCAGAGAAGTATAAATCTAGAGATAATTTACATGCGATGTATTAGAAGAAGAGAAAGATAGCACGTTTGTCCTGTGGAAAGAGTCAGAAGGCACTAGGTGTTAGCTTGCACATAAATGCAGATATCAATAAGTAGAAATCCACCTGGCATAGGCAGTGCCCTTGTATCATTCCCCACCAAGTCCTGTTTGTTCCATCATTTCTTATAACTCTTTGGGCTGTAGCCTCATAAATTTTGTTGGGTTAGGGTAATATACATAATCACTATGAAAGTTTTGAGACAAACTGTGTCATGGTCCATTATTTCGCTTCCGAGAAATACAGTTGACAGTGTCCTTCTGAGTCACCCAGCAAGTTTCAACTGCTCTGCTCATCACTGATGCTGGGAGGACTTCATTTGTTTCTGCCCACATGAAATCTATGTTTGTTTTTTGTTTTTCTCAAAACTTTTCTAATGACCTATGTAGTAGGAGAGGGATTAAATTTGCAGTTTTTTTCTTATTGCTTCCTAGACGTGGCTACTTCTTTGCCTGAGGATATAAGAAGGGAGATGGGTAGGATGGTTGCGTTAGATGACTCATCACTTCCCATCCATCTAACCATCTATGTGTCCAGCTACAAAACCTATTAAGCATCTGCTATACGCAGTCCGTTGTAGGCATTAAGGACTGTGAACAAGACAGATGTGGCCCCTGCCCTCATTGACTTCTGTTCTTTCAAGGACAAAGCTGAGGCAGCCTCTTGCCTGTGCACATTTGCCACGTTAGGCCCCATGCCACTGGATGGTGTAATTCAGGTGGTTTTAGACTGTCTTGAGACCTAAATTGTGGGGAATGACATGTAGCCCCTGAAGTCTCTGACACCTTGACACCTCTATAAATCTAGACATTCATTTGAGTTGTGGTGTAAAGGAAACTTTGAGGGACACATCTGCCACCTCAGCACTCACTGTGAGGAAAGGGGTGCCCCAGGGAGCAAATAGGTCTCGCAGCTCAGAACTGTAGGGATAAAAGACAGTCTCAAGGTGGTGTGCCTCCTGCAAGTGCATCTGCGTTTGCCAACTGCCTGAGTAGCAGGGAGCAGGTAACATGTGAATACTGTCAAACCAGCTCCCAGCAGGCATGGTGTAACTTTGCACAGCTACAGAAAAGCAGCCCTTAAACATAACCACCTCCCCAGCAAACCCACTCCCCACCTCTTCCCTACCATGACTAGTTCTAACCTAACAAATCTAATCATCTCTATTTGCTCTTACGTCAGCCCTAAAATATCTAACGAGGTTCTCATAATTTTCTAGAACCCATGTCTGCTAGAGAAGCAAACCCTTCATCGGGTTTAGGGCCTGGCTTTCCTACTTGACCTTGGGTTCCATTAAAGCTGCACCTGTCTCATTCACTCTTGTGTCCTCCGAAGGTGGGATACTGCTTGGCACATAGTAGGTGCTCCGTAAATATTTGCTTATGAATGACTAAATCTGAGACCCACTGGTGTCTCTGGAACAAAAGCTGTAATTGAGTAAGCCTTTTGTGAGCATAGGAGTTTGGGACAATGGCTTGAGGACCATGTATTTGCCATCTTGCTAAAGGAATTTCAGCCAACATAATAAGACATGAAAGAAAATTCAGAGGTATAAATGTTAGAGAAGAGAAAGTTAACACTTCAGGAGACTAGGGGATCAGCCTTATTGTGTCCTCCTCTCTTACAGGGGACACTTGGCAGTGTCTGGAAACATTTTGGTTGTCACACTGAGGTAAATGTCTAGGTAAAGGCCAGGATACTTCTTAGCATCCTACAACACACAGCACAGCCCCCATAAGGGATGGTTCAGCCCTAAGTTTCGCTAGTGCAAAGGTTGAAGCCAGGGCATTAGCAACAGGAAGAAAACCTGTCGGCCCCAGGAGAGAGCTCTTCTTTGTACAGCCCATCTATTCCTGCAGCCCAGATGTCATCAGCCTTGGTGAGAGTGAGGTCTCATGGAGGGTTGTGTCTGTGAGGGTTGCCAGGGCTCACAAGAGACGAGACTGGGAGCCAGGGGCCGGGGCTGTGCCACATGCCACGCTCGGGTCCCAAAGGCTCCACTCCCAAGAGCTGATGAGGCCTCTTGCTAGAGACTGTGTGTGCTGGGCTGCCCTGAAGCTTTCCAGCCTGTCTTAGAGCATCCTGGGGCAGCCTCTTGGCATCACCGCTCACTGATCCCATGTCTCCATGTGTTTTTATCCAGATGCCAATTCTAGAGTTCCAGAACCGCTTCGCAGCATCTTCCCTGACGTGCACTCAGACTCAGCAAGCAAAGACCTGCCTGGCCGCATTCTACTGGACATAGACAATGACACGGAGAGCACCGCCCTGTGAGAAAGCCACCTCCCAACCCTCAGCCCCTCCCACCCTGGCGAGTGGAGCAGGGGCAGGCAGACCAAACAGTGAAAAGCTTTCAGTGGAGCGAAAGGAAAGGCCTCGCTCTGCGGGACTTGGCCTTCTGCGCCACCAAGGAGATGGCGCAGGCTGACACTAAAGCTGAATGACCTGTGTCTGGAAGAAGCTGGCTTTCTTTACCTAGGAAGGAAATCATGCCAAAAAATCAAAAGCAAAGAAATACCTAGAGTGGAAGGAATATTCCTGCCAAGATGAGTAGAGGAAGCTTTTGTCACTGCTGTTAAAACAGGCAACACCTACAGCAATTTGGAATGAGTAAGAAGCAGTGTGTTAATAACTATTTAATAAAATACGTTAATTGTGCAAGTCTCCTACTTCCTGCTACTCAGACTTCTATTCTTCTGTATTAGGAGGGAGGTTCTTCTCCTTCAGAGTTGCTGCCGAATCATTTTGTATTAAGTATGGTCTGTGTCTCCCCCAATTCCCTCAGAACCACGAGCATTGATGGTGACTGCTGGATCTGTCATCCCATCAAACTGGTTGTGACTTGTGCCTTGTTGGATTGCCAGAATGTAGAAAGAAATGTACTGTTTTTTTTTTTTAATGTAATTGCTACTTGATAAGGACCGAACATTATTCTAGTTTCATGTTTAATTTGAATTAAATATATTCTGTGGTTTATATGAAAACTTTATTGTTCTTGGGGGCAAATTGTAGATTTTGTGTGTGCGTGTGTGTATGTGCGGTCACTTCAGGTGGAATTGTGGGAGGGATATCTTGGGTGTCTAATTGTAACTAGGAGTTTAAAGGAATGGAGAGCAAGCTCGTGACAGTGAAAAAAGTCACCAGGTGCCCCAGAGACCTCCCAGACTGCTGACTTTCAGCAACTATGCATAGTTAAGTCTCTACTGTGGTCCTACACTCTACCAGGCATTCTCAAACTACAGTCCGTGGGCCACATGCGACCCGCCTAGGATATTTATCCGGCCCGCCAGGTGTTTTTGCCGCCGCTGCCTGTCCTGCTTAGCAGCCAACTCGTCCCGAGGCCTGCAGTCCGGCCCTTCGATGGTCTGAGGGACAGTGAACTGGCCCCCTGTTTAAAAAGTTTGAGGACCCCTGCTTTAGACCCCTTTTTCTTGTCCATCTAAGAAACTTAGTAGACTTCTAGAGGCTGACCCACAGAAACTCAACCCCACAGCGCCAGGGCATTTCTATCCAAGGCACTTCTTTCCTAGGATTGGTACACATGGAGAGAGCGGATGGAGAATTGGAGTAAAGCTAGGCTGGGTGTCTGCATAGCTGTTCTGATAGCCTCTCTCCATGGCCCGAATAGGCCGGTTTTCTCTTGGAGACAGAGGGGCACACAGTGCCAGAGCTGGCTGCCCTGAGCCTTCTGTTGATCAAGCTGCCTGCTAGGTGGATCTGTGTCTAAGTCTCTGCTTAGAAGACGTTGGACCTCCTGGACTTAAGCCCAGCTTCAATAGGCCAAACACCTTTTCCTCTTGACTCATAATTCCCTGTGCTCCCAAAGTAGAGCCTACATTTATTAATTAGATTGACAACCTGTACCTATAAACCCATTTCCCCCCATATCTTGTATTTTACACTTGTTTAAAGCTCACTCTTCCCCTGTGCCACCCACATGGACCCTGGGTCCCTTACCTAGCAGCCAGGGCCAGCCGCTCCCAGTGTCGTGGTACTTGGGAACTGTGAGTGACCATCTGCCACTGCCGTGGATTCCTGTGTTGTAGAGGAACAAGTCAGCAGGTGTGTGGAGGGGCAGAGCCAGAGATGGGCAGGGGAGCGTGCTCTCAGTCTCCAGAACCCACCCAGCTCCTAGCTCACGTCCCTGAGGCTGTTAATGCATTTTTTGCACCCTCATAATAAATGAGTTTTATTGTTTTGGGTTTGCTTTTTTTTACACAAATGTGCCCAGGTTTGTTTCTGTTCCTGGAAACCAAATGACTCCTACTTGATGTCCCCCCAAAGGGGTTGTCTTCTGTTCCCTCTGAGCTGTGTGTCTGTGCAGCCCCCGTGCAGCCCCCATGCAGCCATGAGGGCAGCTTTGCACACTCTTCTCCCCCAGCTCCACCTTCACACCCTCACGTGTTCACGCACTGCTCTGTGACAAATGGCCACACACTTAGCAGCTTAAGGCAATATGCATTCATTCCCTTAAAGCTCCTGTGGGTTGGGACCCATCCTTTCTGGGTCCTCTGCTTAGGGTCTTCCAAGACCACAGTCAAGGTGTCAACCAGGGCTGGGTTCTCATCTAAAGGCTGGACTGGAGAAGGATCTGCTCCCAAGCTCCCCCAAGGCTTATCAGAACTCACTTCCTTGTGGTTGCAGGACCACATGGTGTGAGGGCCCTGGCTCCTTGCTGGCCATCATGTGGTGGCTGCCATGGCACCAGGAGGTAAGGTCACTCTAGGGGGCTGTCCTGCACGTACCTGAGACATCACAAATGACTCATGTGGGAGGAATATTTGATACAAGGAAGAACCTTTGCCAATAAGACATCAGGGTTCTGTTTTCCCCCTTTCTACTTGTATTTGAATTCAGTTTTTATGCTTATCAGTGATTATATTTGGGTTTTTATGATTCACAAAAGTTATACGTACTTACGGCATACATTGTGATGTTTTGATATAGGTATGCATTGTGGAAGGGTTAAAGCCAGCTAATTAACATCCATTACCTCACATGCTTATTGTTTTTTGTGATGAGAACATTTAAAATCTACTCCCAGGGCCTGGCATGGTGGCTCATACCTGTAATCTAGCACTTTGAGAGGCCAGGGTAGATTACTTGAGGCCAGGAATTTGAGACCAGCCTGACCAATACTGAGAGCCTGTGTCCACCAAAAAAATTTTTTTAAAAGAAAGAAAAACTGTGTGCTGCTATAGTCCCAGTTACTTGGGAAGCTGAGGTGGGACGATGGCTTGAGCCCAGGAGTTTAGGGTTACGGTGTGCTATAATCATGCCACTATACTGCAGCCTGGGGGACAGAAAAAAATCTACTCTTAGCAATTTTCAACGACATAATACATGCTATTAATGATAGTCACCATATTGTATAATCACTCTGAACTTATTCTGTGTAACTGAAGTATATTATATTTGACAAAAAAAAAAAAAAAAAAAAGAAGAACATGTGCATATCACCTTGTGGTAGAAACTCAGCCTTTTTTTTTTCATATGTGGACCCTTAGAATTGAAGGATTGAAGCCCAGGTTTTATGAATCATGTCCTGTGTCCCAGCACAAGGGGAGGCTATGCTTTAGTGGGGAGAGCTGTGGGTGCAGGTGGGCAGTCCCAACATTGTGCACCAGCTGTAAGTGGAGGCCCCAACTGACAAGGACTGAGGCTGGTGAGGCCAGGAGCAGCGGGGCACCAAGGGAATGGAATGGACAGGTGAGTATGTCCTAGGGAGGCAGAATCAGCATGATTTGGTGGTTGATTGCAGGCCTTTCCCAAATATGAGAGCTCCTCTTACCCACCAAGGGTGGTCCTGGGACCAATGTCTGTGGTCACGGAAGACTTGGAAGCTACACCATTCCGAAAGACCAGGTAACTAGATCAGTTCATGGTCACCTCCGTGAACCCAGACCCCAAGGGGCCAAGATGGTGCAGGAACAGTGAGTGTTTCTTGGTCCTGGTTACCTGGGCAGAGGTAAACAGCCAGGCCAGGGAGGAGTGTGGCTGGTAGGTGTGAGATGAGGAGCCCCTCATGTGTTCTGAAGATCATTCCCCACTTCACTGAGTCCCAAGCTGTCGGTGTGAATGACACACCTTGCCTTCATGGAACTTTCACTGCAGTTGGGCAGACAGTCAAGCCATCTGTACGAAAGTGTGACATGCTTTGGGGGCACGTGCCAGGGCATGATCAGGGAAGGCTTCCTGGGAAAAGTGATGTCCGCGCAGAGACAAGAAGCATAGGGGATGGAAGAGGGGGAGGGGTAGTTTGGGCAGAGGGAAGAGGATGGGCAAAGGCTTATTTACCACTATTTAACCCTACTTAGAGGACACCTTGATTCCTTCCATGGTGCCGCACCCAAAAGTGAGGAGGAGTGCCTGGTATGACCTCAGACTACAAGGGGAGAGTGGTCAGAGGGGAAGCTGGGGAGGGGCCTGGCCAACAGGGGTCTTGTCCTTCCCATCAGGGATTTCAGACTTCATCCTGAGAGCTTGGAAGGTCACTGAAGGATCCAAAGTGGAGGAGTGGCTTGGTCAGACCTGAACACATGACTTGGGTCTGGAGAACGGGCCTGATTAGGGATGCGAAGAGCACTTGGAGGCTGGTGGCAGCAGTCCAGGGCAGAGGACATAGTGGCCTGAGCTACCATAGTGACGGTGCTCATTAAAAGGGCAACAGACATCTTGGTGTGGGGCCAGGGTCAGGAGAATTGAGGACTACAGTGAAAGCTGCCAGTCCTCCCACTCTCCTCCTTTGGTCCTTAGAGACACCCTCCCCAGGAGGACTGCCCCTTGGGGCCTGGCACAGTGGCTCATGCCTGTAATCCCAGCACTCTGGGAGGCCGAGGCAAGTGGATCACCTGAGTTCACAAGTTCAAGACCAGCCTGAGCTAGAGCTCGACCCTGTCTCTAAAAATAGCCAGGCATTGTGGCTGGCACCTGTCGTCCCAGCTACTTGGGAGGCTGAGGTAAGAGAATCTCTTGAGCTGGGCGCCAGCCCCATATGCTGGAGGTGGTGGATTCAAACCCACCCCAGCCAAAAACTGCAAAAAAAAAAAAAAAAAAGAGAGAATCTCTTAAGCCCAAGAGTTTGAGATTACTGTGAGCTATGACTCCATAGCACTCTACCAGGAGGCAACAAAGACTCTGTCTCAAAAAAAAAAAAAAAAAAAAAAGACTGCCCCTTGAACCCGCCTGCCTCCGAAGCTATCTCAGACTCTGGCAAGGAGCTACATTAGCAGCCAGTTCCGCACATGCATCTCTGCGTGGGACGGTGGAGGGTGCCTTTTATGCAGCCCACAGAATCACTTGGATTAGGGTGGAATCAATGAGGCCTTGGAGCAAGGGTAGGGGCTGGGCTAATGCATACTGTGTTTCCCCGAAAATAAGACACTGTCTTATATTTATTTTTTCTCAAGAAGACACACTAGGGCTTATTTTCAGGGGATGTCTCCACACCAAAATGCATAGTGTGACTATACAGTGTAGCCACACCCATCACTAGGTCTTATTATCAGGGTAGGGCTTATATTTAACAAATGCATAGAAATCCTGCTAGGGCTTATTTGGGGGGTAGGTCTTATTTTCGAGGAAACAGGGTAACTGTGGATCAGGCCAGTCCCAGGTGTTGAGAGCATCGAGCAGGAACTCAAAAGAGATCACTGAATGACTAGGTGATACGGGCAAGCGGCTTTTCAGCCTCAGGGTTTCCTGTCCATTTTCCTTTCAAGTCCCTTGAGTCTCCTTTGAGACTCCATTTTCCAGCTCTGTCAGGAAGCAGCTCTGGTCAACCCCACCAGCCTTCTGTATCCCAGCTCATGGCTCTGGGCTGCGGCAGAGATGGTCCTGCCTTGCTCTAGCTCTGTAGGTGGCAAACACAGGCCCTATCAGGGTCTAAAGCAGAAACTGAGATATCTGGCTCTACACAGAGTGGGAGGTGGGTGCTCTTCAGGTCAAAAGCCCCATTGGCCCTTGGCCAGTAGAGATTTGTCAT